ACGTGGTCAGCTAGCCGGATACCATTTTTGCGACTTTAGAAATGCTGACTCGAGAAATCCTCACAGAATTCTCCAGTCTCTTGCCAGTCAAATGTGCGGCAATGTTGACGGATTTTGTGATAAACTGACTGACGTTATTCGTCGTGAACATTCTCGAGAATCACTGTCAGACGCATTTCGCATCCTTTTAAACGATCCATTACATGCCCTCGACAGGCGTGAACCAATGCTGATCGTTGTGGATGCTTTGGACGAGAGTAAAACTGATGTCAAAAGTGAATTTTTAGAGTTGATAACAGACGAATTTCCTGAATTACCAGAATGGATTAAGATATTAATTACGAGTAGACCAGAGCTACAAGTAAGGAAGAAACTTCAACATTTAAATCCTGTGGAAATTCTTCCTGACGACTACCATCACAAACTCGACTTAGAGCATTTCATTCACCATTGTTTGCCAAACATGAATCAAGGTAATGTAAGTTCGCTTATTTCGAAGTGTGAAGGTTCGTTTCTGTACGCTTATTATTCGGTCAATGCATTAAAAAAAATGGATTTGGGAATTGAACCCAACCTAAGTGATTATGTCCCCAAAGGTATTTCTGGGTTTTACGAAAAACAGTTCGGACGTTTGAAAACAGGCCTCCAAAGGTCTATCCCAGATACATGGTCATCTGTCTTTAAAAGTTTTTTAAATGTTGTTGCTGCTTCTAGGGAACCCCTTCCAATGAAGCTTCTTGTTTCATGTATGGGTTTCAGTTTGTCCAGTGAGGAGTATGTAATGCGCGAGACGATTATTGGAATAATGTCAGAAATTCTTCCACTTTATGACGATTGCCTAACTGTTTACCACAAGTCTTTGTGGGATTGGCTGACATTAGATGGCTATGAGGAGCATGCGTTTGTAGGAGATGTTGCAAACGGCACGAAACGGCTCTGGCGTGCCTGTAGCAACATATACCGTGGTATTGATTCATTAAGTTCAGTTTTAGATTTTCTAATATCACCTGAGAAAAAGTACGCTTTGAAGAATGGTGGGAAATATTTGCTGGATGTTGGAGTTGCGGAGGATTTCCACTGGCTGGTGAATGTTAGACTAAATTTTTTGAAACTAAAATTTTTTGACAGTCTGAATGTTAGAATTTCTGGTATTCTTAAATTTTGTTATGTTAAATGTCCCGATTATCATTATTGGGGCAATATTCATCTCCATTTTTTTTCGCAAATTATGAAAAAACGTCGAATGGAAATAACAGAGAATAACAGAGAAATCTACTACATTTATTTGCAATCTCTTGCAAATGGTTACTTTGATTTCGTGCAACGGGCGATTCATTGTAAAAATGAAGCTAGAGATATTTTGGACAAATCAAACGAGATTTGGGTAGAGGAAATTGGAAATGACTACAATTCTAATTTTAAAATTATTTCCCATACCGTCATGGGGTGTGTTCAAGTACCTTTCAAACGATACGACGCCAAGGCATTATCACCAGACAATAAACTGCTGGCGTACATAAATGAACGAACAGTTGAAGTGTTCGAATTGCCAAGTCTTATTATGGTTTTTGATCTGGAAATAAGTGAATTGCGCGGGCCATCCCGGTTTTTGATATTTTCTCCCGATTCTTTGTATATTCTATGGAATTCAGTGAGGTCTTGCATCTCTATTAGAGAGCAAAAGGAGGTGCCATTGATTCCACATGGACCCCTGGATGTTCATTGCTGTTCATTTTCTTCATGTGGAACGAAACTCGTAACTTGTGAAAAGAACTTGATTAAAGTGTGGGATGTAAGAAAGAGAAGTATATTAGTGCAAGTTAGGACTGAGATTGACGTAGAATATTGCATGTTTAGTAACTGTAACTCGTGTATTCTCGCTCGTTCTGTAATGCAGATCAGAGCATTTGATTTCAATGATATTGCGATATTGGAATCTACAACGTTAGAAAGGATAGATCTTGACAAAATTAGTTGTGCGGACACTTGTTTGACAAATCAAGATTACTATCAAATTATTTCACCGTCATACCGGGTTCTTTTTAGTTACTATGCTAAATTTGAAATTCGTCATTTTCACTTGCCAAGCGGTAGAATAGCTCTGATTGCAAATCAACATTGCTCAAAACCTTTTACATGGAAAGATAAAAAATGTGTTATATTCTTCATTTCGGGGCTTTGGGCTTTAGTGTACGATTTTATTAACAACGAAGTCGTTCAATTCTTTCATATTAATTGCTTACCAAATAACACTTCTGTGGATTACATATCAAAGTTAGGTGAGATGAATTTGTTCGTTTGTTTAAGTCACGATCAAGTATTTGTTCTATCGCTTGAAACTCCTACAGAAACTTCTGTTGTTCGTTCTGTCTACACTCCAGATATAAGATGTTATGCATTGTCTCCAGAAAACTTGTACGTGGCGTGCTGTGACAAAAATCGTAGTTTAGAAATTAAAAGTGTTGATAATGGGAAAACATTGCAAACTGTTGAACTGAAACAACCACCGGAAGCTTGCTGGTGGTCAGAGTTGTATCTTTGGGTGGTTTGTAAAGGAGTGGTGGTAAAATATCCTTATAATCCAACACAAACAAACGTCTTGGGAGATGAACTTGAGGATTGTGATATAAATTTTCAAAGTGTCCTTAAATTTGCAGAAGGTGTACTTGTTATTCAACTCAGTGACAATGAAGAAATTTCTCTGCTAAAAATTTGCAATCAAATGCTTTATCCTCAACAAATTCCTAAGTCAAATTTCAATGCCACTTCAATTGCAGTAAGTTCAGATGGGTGTGCTATTCTGTTGTATCATAAATCCAGTTCAGATTATCAGTTGTGGGAGATAGCAAGTGAAAACAGGTGGGAGTTACGTTCAACTGGAAGATTGAAGTATCCTGAGGATCACGTGGCTTGGTTTTGTTTAACTGGCACAGAGAACTCTAGAAGTTCTATATGGGTCACTTATACGTTTACATCCTGGCAAGACCCGAATGAACCTCTTTGTATTTCTTCCATTGATTTCCCAAGTTGTAAGCAGGTTTCCTGGCATGAACTTCCTTTACAACATATGATTACAGGAGTTATTTATGTAGACTCCAACATTGTAATTATATATAAGAATAGGTGGATATATTTTGTGAACGTGTCAGATGGTAAAATCATCACTTCCTTAGATGTAGGTCTTATTCCTGGTCTCCGGAACGTATCGTCCTTTTACATCGCCTCACGAAGCATGCTTCTTTTAGGTGGGGAAAGAGATATCATTTTTTTTAAGATTCATAATATTGAAAGCAGTCTACCTTCTGTAACCAAAGAGTAGTAGAAAATAACGCTGTTTCTGCATTTTCAGTTTCATCATGTAAATTGTTCACTCAAATCATTCACAAAAAAGAACATGACTAATTTCCCCCGCATATTTTGCCTGTTAACAATAAATGCCCGGATTCCATTAATAAAAGTTAACGAGGTGGCTCGTTAATGTGTGTAGGTTTGAACAATCTTTTTTATTTTAAATGCTCCCACTATCGGCCGCTTTACACTTGTATGGTTAGTTTACCCAGGTCCTACTCTGACAAACGAGATGAGATGTTGAACGAGTTCGAGTTTGATTTCATAATTAATGTTTCCAACAATTTACGAAATGATTTCATGTTTCTTGTGATAAGCGTACATGTAAACAAAGCCTTAATAAAAATGCTCATAAAGAAATGGTCTCACTCTACATATAAAGATAAGATTTTTATTAACTAATGAAGTTTGCTTTCTCTACCTGAGCAAAGCCTTAATTCAAAATATTTCAAATTAACAGTGCTGATTTATTTTCACTACTAAAAGTTATGACTCAAGCAGGAAAGGTTGTTTTTATCCTATTACTATTAAGTGTCTCTTTGTCATGAAGTTAGCGAAAGTCAATTCTCTAGGTGTCTCAAATACATACTCCACACATGGAGATTAGGTCTACTAATGAAATTGAACTTTCGTGCGAGCATTCAATTCTAAGAAAGGAATTCATCATAATTTGCATGCAGGCATGCAGTTACGTCATATTTTGAATCACTAGCAAGGAGACAGTCAAGATAAAAAATATGACGCGACTAAGGGGCCGATTACATGGAGCATTTTCAACCCCGGGGTTGAACTCAGCCCTGTTTACCGGGTTGAAATTTCAGCCCTGTCTGTAATACAAAACTCTATCAAAATCAAACGCGCGATTACATGACAAAATTTTCAACCCAGGGCTGAGTTCAACCCCGGGGTTGAAATTGTAACCCTGCTTCAACCCAGGTCCGAAATTATCATGAGTTATTCGAGCATACGTGGTATTGACTATTTATTACAAGAAAACAAAATAAAGGGTTTTTTTACTTCCTCGAATCGATGCCGAGAACGTATAGTATTACACTATTACGTTTCAACCCCGGGGTTGAAATCGTCCATGTAATCGCAAAAAATTTCACCTCGGTTAACAGGGCTGAGTTCAACCCCGGGGTTGAAAATGCTCCATGTAATCGGCCCCTAACACGCAAATGAGGAAGGTCGTACTCGTAAATGTAGTCAAATCTACAGATCTCTATAGTGCCTACAGTATATAGATGGACTGTAAATAAAGAATAATAATAGAAATAAAGACATCATGAGCTTTGTATCAAATGAGTCGAAGCATATACTGCTTGCTGAAAGATTGTAAGCTCAGTATTGTGGTAACAAGACAAATTTTGATTGCTTGTATATTGAGTGCGACTAAGACAAGTGCATGCTATATCAATTTGATGGCATTTCATTTGGCGGCTTTTCCTTTTGTATGTCGATAAACTAAACATAAAAATATTTAGATTTCTTTCAATACTGATTGCTAATATTTTTCAGTAAGAAGACTCATGCTTGTGAAATAATGAAATTTGATATTACATGTTTTCACCAGGCGGAATTTTTCGCGCGGAGCGGAATTTTTCTTTGTCCTTTCCAATTAGTTCCACCCGAGAAATCACAAGAAAAGGAAAAATTGCGCTCCGCGTGGAAAATTCCTCCTAGTGGAAAACGACCTATAGTGTATAAGCATATAAATAAATAACATATAGCGGAATTTTCAGAATCTTCTAAAACGCACAAAAAATAAAGTAGCTGTAATTATTTTAGAATTGATAGTTGATTTTGCAATCCTAGTTGAAAAGTAACACAAATCTTTAATTTAGTAACGTAATAGTTTTAATTAATAATTAACAAAAATGTACTATGTCATTGAAATTCAATAATATATGAATTATACAGTATATTTATTATGTGAACATCTAGCTACATTATATATCAATCTGCTAAAGAAAAATAATGAATTAGATATAAATTTTTAAAAGCAACAATGAAAGAACAATAGACCATTTTCATCATGACGGAAATATGCATGCCAATTGTAATACTATAGAGCTGTGCAACATTAACAATGCATATATGTGCTCTTTTAAATGCAATTTACGTGAATAAATATATTTCATAAAAAACTGTTATACCATTCTTCTCCTGCAACGGCCGAGTAAAATATGAATATTGTAAAGGTGCAGGCTACGACATTTCCCCTAAACAAAATTTAGAATGTTTCTTAAATCCCCCTCGGTAGGAAGTTGCACATATAGCTTTTTTAGGTCAGAGGTATTCAGGAGTTCTTACCCTATACCTATTTTGATAGCTGAACATTTTACACTGTGCAATACATTTATCATTTACTGACCCAGAGGGAGGAGGATTTGGCAAAGTATTAACATGGTGTGACAATATGACGAAGGGCTTTGCCCCAAGAAAAATATTATTACTGAGGATAAGTATTTCGCCGAATCCTCCGAGCGGAGGGTCCATAAATGATATATTATACCGAACCCACTCATAAAGCTGAGAATAAACTAGCTGAATAACTTAGGAGGTACAATGTGTTGTGTTTCCGTTTCAAATATTTGAGCCTGTACCGTTTGGTTCATTGAAGGTAACACACCTCTTGAAAAAATCTTTAGTTAAATCAATTGTACGAAATTTTAAAATACAAACAATAGCTTACGAATGCCGTATTAATTCGGCGCGTGGTGTCCACGCGTGAAGCGTGAGATACTATAAACTCCTACGGTAGATCTACAGTGACATATACAGAGGATATTACACGATGGCGCGAAGATATGACTTTTATCTTCGAGTGGTGAAAACAATATTTTACGAACGAGCGCAGCGAGTGAGTAAAATATTGTTTTTAACACGAGAAGATAAAAGTCATATCTTCAAGCCACCGTGTAATGTTCTGTTTATTATGTAGTCCCAAGCAAAAAATTGTGAAATTTCACGCTCAAAACCAAATTGTCACGTAATCGATATCTTCACTATTGAAGATATGGAAACTGATATTTCGCTGTGTATATTTTTCAGTATCTCACTCTCTACTAAATAATAAGTAAGAGCATTCAACTGATTTGTTTTTTGTCTAAAACATGGAATTTCATACAATTTGTAACAAGCAATTTAGATCATGGAGTGGGACTTATTTCAATTGCTCAAAATACTTCACACTTCATTGAATCCCGAGTAAGCGGGATTCAATGAAGTATTATATACACAGCCCCTAATTAAATGTCTTAAAATGTTTTCAAAAATCTGGCACAGCTTGTCGAGGGGGTTCTGCTTAATCAGTGTTTGTAGCGTGGTAGGATATATATTTGCTGTTGTGACGAAAAATAATGCAGTATACGACATGATATGCCTTGCAGATCGGTTTTATGTCACTCGTTAGCGGAAGGGACAAACTTAACTCGTCCGTTGACTGGATAGCTCAAAGGGTAGAGCGGAGGTCTACAGTAGAAACCCGAAGATGCGCGTTCTAATCTCTCTCGAGACAACCAATCTTTCGTTGTACTCTGCAGTGTCAGAATAACATGATTGAACTGGAAACAGTGCTAGTTTGCAAGAGATGAACCTCGAATGAGGTATTTATCTAGATAAATAGCTCATGAAATATTATAGCTTACAATAAGAACTTGTCCGATCAGAGAACTACATTTGTACCACGTGAACATGGTATTTTTCGGCAAATACAATGCCCCGGACAACTTGTACCTTGAGTTCCCCACGAACGCGGCATTCTGATTGGCTGTTTTCTGTTGGGTTCTATAATTAGATCACTGATTCATCACAAAGGCTCTCGATAAGCATAAAATTCGAAAATTGATCACTTTTTTCGATTAAAAATGGAACAAGAACAGACTGTTTAATACAACTGTTTACTTGAAGAAAGAGATGTTTTTGCCGTTATGCCAATGGGGATTGCTTGTCGTGAAGTGTTGGAATAGCACATTTAATACGACTGCCGGGGTAAACTATAGTATTAACTTTTACTTGAGTTTCATTAATTTCAAACAGACTTGATATGTTATATGTTCCTCAAGAAAATTATCTTTGACTCTGTATTTGCACTGAAGAAAACAGCGCTTTTCGCGGTGAAGATTTAGAGGCAGTTCGGCATGTATAAAGCCTATTCAAAACACTTTGCGATTTGCAAGGTTTCGCTGAGAGAGCGAAACAGAAGACGGTAATTGCCGTTTGAAACGAAACGATCTGGACTCTGAACCCTCCTTGTTTTGTCTTTATTCTTTACCAAATGAAATAACTGAAATAAATTTCGTACTTTCCGCCGCCAACAAAAATTGCACACACGAAGTGAGACACAATTTATTTATAACAACAGCGACAGCGAAGCAAATTTAAATGCTAATGTGGTCGCACGACTTCCCTCACGATTTGAAGTTTGAGACTGGTTTTCAGTTGAAATTCGTCCTAATTTGCCTGTTCCGATTTTAGTTGAAAATGAGCACTTGCAAATTTGGCAATTACATGTACTGACTGCGTTGCTTGTTTTTTGGAGTTAAAACACAGCCATTTACACATTGTTTCTATTTTGAATATTAAAGCAGAGAAAATCCCGCAACATTTTAATGCGAGTT